ATCAATTACCATGCTAGTTATCAGGCCACTCCTGGATCCCACCTTCCCGATTCTGTCAATCACAGTGCCTACTCCACTGTGTGCTCACGATGGGAGTGGGGGGTGTAGCTATTGGTTACGTGGAGTGTCTCTTTTTATGAGTTGCTTTCATGTCTCAAGACTGCAGCCAACCTCTCTACATAACTGGGTAGCTTCTCCCTAAGGAGACCAGATTTTCCCATTTGTTCAGGACTTTCTCTGTTTTTAAACTGACATTTATATGTACTGAGAACTTCCTCAGTCCTGGGTTCAGTTCATTTCAGTTGCTCAGTCGTGTCTGACTCTTTGCAACCCCATGAACTGCAGCACGCCAGGCCTCCCTGTCCATCACCAACTCCTGGAGCCTACCCAAACTCATGTCCATTGAGTCAGTGATGCCATCCAACCATCTCATCCTCTATCATCCCCCTCTCCTCCTGCCCTCAATCTTTCCCAGCATCAGGGTCTTTGCAAATGAGTCAGCTCTTTGCATCAGGTGGCCAAAGCATTGGAGTTTCAGCTTCAACATCCGTCCTGCCAATGAACACCCAGCACTGATCTCCTTCAGGATGGACTGGTTGGATCTCCTTGCAGTCCAAGGGACTCTCAAGAGTCTTCTCCAACACCACAGTGCAAAAGCATCAATTCTTTGGCCTTCAGCTTTCTTTATAGTCCAATTCTCACATCCATACATGACTACTGGAAAAACCATAACCTTGACTAGATGGACCTTTGTTGGCAAAGTAATGTCTTTGCTCTTTAATATGCTGTCTAGATTGGTCATAACTCTCCTTAACCTGGACAATTGGTCATCTTATCACAACTCTGTTCAGGCTGAGGAAATTCTCCCTGATCCTCTGTTCACCACACTGCAGAGTCCTCTGACCGTGCTCCCTGCCTCACAGGGCAGTGGGTGCAGCCCTCCCCCAGCTGCACAGACCTCTCTGGACCCTGTGAAGGACCCTGGTCAGAGCCCTGGTCAGAAAGCCTGGGGGTGATTAGGAACCCATTGGTGGTTTGTGTATCTATGTGTTTGTGTGTGTTTGTATGTGGCTCTGTGTGTGTGTCTGTCTGCCTAAGTATGTTTATATGTGTGCCTACATGTGTGTTTATATGTGTCTGTGTGTGTTTATATGTGTGGCTTTGTGGGTGGAGCAGATCTCTGTATGTGACCATGTGTCTGTGCATGCATTTGCATGCCTGCATGTGTCTATGTATAGATGTGGGGGCGTCACTTGGGGTGACATTCAGAGGAAGAGGCTTACCGGTCCACAGTTATTAGCCAGCTTTTGGTTTGGGACACTGGTATCCAGTTGAGCTTTCCCTTGTAGTAGGAGTGGTCCACCCCGCCAAACATCAACACACTGCCATTCTCCTTGTGGCTGTCGAGAGAATAAAAGAGGCAGACTCTTTGGAGCACTGTTATGCTGGGCAGACTGAGGGTTGTGCTTGTCCACCCAACAAGGCCCTAATAGGGTCCCCATTTTACAGATGCAGAAATTGAGGGATTGAGAACCCGACCAAAATTGGTCACCGGCTAGAGTGGCACAGAGGAGGTTAGAAGCTGAGTCATTTGGCCAGGCTCTGCCCACCCAGGCTTCTGAAGAGGCCCTGGACCTCCTGCAACCTGAGTGCTCAGAGATACCCTCAGAGGACAGTGTGCTGAAGGGTTTGGGCTTCCCCCTTGTCCAGCCTGTAATTTTTTCAGAAAAATCAAGGACTGAGAGTGCTAGGGGTATGGCTTCAGGTCACCCAGGGTTTGTTTCACCTGCCTGCGACCTGTGCTATCCATGGGGCCCCACATTCAGCAGGGCCCCCCACCTCTGTTATCTCTGTCTGGAAATTCCTAAGACTTGTTGGATAAGGTGTTCCACACTTCCATTTTGCACTGTCTCCTGCAAATTGTGTAGTTGGCCCCGGTGAAATGTTAGTGAGGAAGGAAAGATTTCCACCATCCCTCTCTTTCCTTCCATTTCAAATTTGTCAGCAAACTGTGTTACTTTTTCCTCCAACCTTTATCCTGACACTTTCCATTGCTCTCCCACTCCCCTCAACCCCAAGACCAAGCCACTGCTCTTGAGCCCACAAGCTAGGTTGTGTCCCAATAAAACTTCATTTACAAAAACCAGTGGTGAAGCCAGGTGAAGCCCTGGGGCCATAGTTATCCTGGGCTACACAGTCTTTCAGGATACTTCTGTAACAAGTGTTCTATAATATTCATCCAACTGAAAGCATCTCACAGCTAATTTGGAGAGAGGGTTTGTCCAGCTCAGACTTACTTGCTCAAGTAGAAGGCAAAGACAGGCTCAGAAATGGAACCTTGTTGCTTCAGCTTGTCAAAGATGGGGATGGTTCCTGGGATGGCGAGGCTGGGGTAAGACAAACCCAGGATGCCATCAAAGGGTGCATTATCAAACCCGAATTGCTGCAGGCTTAGGCCAAACGGCTGGTCAGTGCTAACAAGCTTCCCAATCTGTGGGAGAGAAGAGTTACCACGTAAAGGATTGGAAGTGGGACTGGGCTACGGGGGTGCAGATGTCATTAGAACCTCAGAGAAGAACTGAGTCCTGGCTGTGCCCTAGGTGGACTTCAGATGGCTAAAACAAGCTGGGGCAGGAATTCTGGTTCCATTGGTGTGGGGACGTGAATTTTAACCAACACCAGCTATTTCTGCAAACACCATCTGAGTCAAATTGGCCCCATGCCTTCTGTACAGGTGGGGAAACCAAGAGTCAGGACTGGACCCAATGGTGCCCCCTTGATGACAAAATGGGTAGAGAGCAGGGTAGTCCTCTCTGCGGCATCACTGTGATCTGATGACAGAAATGGACTGAATTTATTGCAGTGTATTATGGATCCTGCACCTGCCAAGGAAGGCAGGAGCCCATTTTACAATGTCACTGGCAGGGTTCTTATGAATATGCTACCTGGGAAACACACATTTAAGGGTGTGTGTGTGTGTGTGAGAGAGAGAGAGAGAGAGAGAGAGAGAAAATCCTCAGGCACTTTGGGGAGGGAGGCCATAGATTTTATTAGACTTTCAGTGGCCCCCTAGAGTGAGAACCCATTTATCAAGTCCCTCCCATATTTGTGGGCCCCTGCTTTCACTGTCTGGATATCTGAAGCCCTGGGCTGCCCCCGATCAGTTTTATTCTCTCTTAAACAACCCCACATCAGCTTGAGTCCTGACAAGCCAGCCCAGCTACCACTTCCCAGATGTGTGACTTTGGCAAGGCCCTTGCTCTCTATACCTTAGTTCCCTCATGTGTCTCATGCAACTAATTATAGTAACTTCTGTGTGGGGTTGTTGCAGGATTAAACAAGTTATTACCATGAAAGTACCCAGCACAGTCTTAGAATATAAAAGTGGGTGCTTTGCCCCCTGTCCCTGCTCCCAGCAAAATGAACCTTGAGCTGCTCATGGGCAGAGGAGCTGCAGGTCCACACCCCAAGCCGCTCTCTGGGTTAGCCACTCTGGGAGTTTGTGCACCAGCAGGGGCCTTATCTCCCCAGGGACAGGATTCTGCAGATAAGGCAACTAGTCACAAGGGGAGTTAGAGAAGGCCGGGCCCTGCCAGCTGGTCCTGCATCTGTTGTGTAAGCAGTGGTCACCCCATAGCCAGTCCTGATCCAACGTAGGCCATCTATGGGGACCAAGAGGGGGTTGGTTAGTGCAGATCTGATTCAGCTTCTGTTTCCATGTTACCCGAACAGTGTCATAGGCAAGAACTCCATTCATCAACCCAGATCCGTAGAGGATGCGGAAGGACCTGTTCGTAGGCCGGAAGGTGGAAGATTTATGATGGTCGAAGGTAATATGTGTATCTGCAGACACAAGAGATGAGTGTCAGTCAGGTCATAGGGTGGAGGGGATGGATCAAGACGGGGGAGGTGGTACTCACGACAGGAAGGACTGATGCACTTGATGGAGGGCACCCACAAATCAGATGAGCCTGTGTCAAAGACTACCCGGAACTCCTTAGGGGGTGTTCCAATGGTGATGTTACCCACGTAGGCCATCTAGAGGGACCAGGAAGAAGTGGATGAGTGCAGATCTGGCTCCCCTCAATTTCCAGACTGCTGCCTCTCTCTGGGTGTCACATGTCTCTTGAAATCACTTTCCAACCACCATTCAGCTCAAAATCGTTGCTCACAGAGTGCCTGCATTTGATATTTTTTCCTGTGCTATGTGGTATGCAGGATTTTAACTCTATGACCAGCATTGAAGCAGTACCTCCTATATTCGAAGCCCAGAGTCATAATCACTGAACCCCCAGGGAAGTCTGGTGACCTCACCTGAGAAGCTCTCTAGTCTCTTCTTCAAACCCAGCCTGAGCACCTCCTTTTCCAGGAAGTCCTCCTTAATCAACCCCAGCCACTCCCTCTAAACTCAGACCATGTTTGATCAACACCACAAAAATGGGCCTTTCCCTAAACATGTATTTACTCTTTGCATATCTCTCAGGCTAGCTTGGGCATTCTTGAATAAGAGATGAGAACTTTTTCAAATAAATAATAAAAACTATAGTGTTAGATTCTTATGGCATCAAGTGCCATAGGGTTTCAGTAAATTTTTGCTGTTGTGATTCTTGGATCTCTGGAGGCTGAATTCCTCTACCTGGCGATTCACACTTGATTTCCAGTTGGCTTTATTCTTGATTAGAGATGGCCTACCACTTCACCTGTAACTGAGTGACTCGCTTAGTTCAGAAAGAACAATCTCCCTCAAACTAATGCCAAATCTTTGGCACAGAAATAGATGTTTACCTGCCACCTGGTCATTGCTGGGCCCAGTCACCACAGACCAAGAGTTGAGGATGAGAATGTCTTCTCCTCTGGGAATGAGGCCCCTGTTCCCCAATGTTTCTGCCTCCTGCAGGAGCCCCAGCTCCAATATCCCACCTGGCACCTCTAGATGAACCCCAGTGCTAGGCCAGACCACCAGGGGGCGCTGTGGAGCACCAGCCTCCCAACACACTCACATCCAGGGCGTTCCTCAGTGGGTGAGTAGATAATTTGGGGTCACTAGCAGAATCATCAGACAGTCTATTGGCTTGTTCCTCCAAGAAATTGTTCAGCAAGTTTCTTTCCCTCAGGACTTCTCGCATGGTCTTTGTTTTAGTTAGAGGCATTCTTTCACCAAGCATGAAGAAAAGGAAAGAAAGAAGGAGGAGCAGTCAACTGTCTGTTATAGTATAACAGTCATACCTGGCATTGTAATAGCACTGTGTATTTTCCAAGCATTTTTTTTGAGTGCCATCTATTATCAGAATGCTGTGCAAACACAGGGCAAAGACATAGATTTGAATACAGATTCTGTTGTGTTATCTTGGGTCAGCCATATGAACATTTGGAGTCTCAGTTTCCCTATCGGTAAAATGGTGGAAGGGATAAACCCCACCCACCCCCCATATAAAATGCTTTGGCTGTTAAGCAACATTATGGACATATGTTATCCATATGATAACATATCCATATCCATATGATATATAGGGAGTCTCAACAAAGACAGCCATTACCGTTGCTGTTGCCACCCCACTGTATTTTTCTCATAGAAGCTTGGGGTGGGGGAGGAAGAAGGGGAATTCTCACCCTCTCTTTACAGGGGAGAAATTTGAAATGCAGGGAGTTTGTGACATGACTGTGATCACACCGCTTGTTCAAGGTAAAAACAGTCTAGATGTAGCCCTCCTAATCGTTCTCCAGAGTTGAAGCAAAAGAGAGGGGTGACAGAAGAATCCAGGAGAAGGGGAACAAATTAGAGAAATTAAGAGGCTAGAGAAACAAGAAAGAGTCAAAATTGAAAAGAGAAAAGAAAAGGAAAAAAAAACACAGAGAGAGCTACATGAACAGAGACATCAAAGAGATGGAGAAATAAATAGATGAAGAGTTAAATGAGAGAGATATAGAGATGCAGGTGTAGACACATACACACAGAAGTAGAGAGAGAACAGCGAGGACACCTAGAATAAAATGTAGAAAATGCTACTCAACAGCACCACACGGGCTGTTTGCATAGGATGTGCACTGAACAATTGCAAGGTGTTCCATTTTCACATAGGTCATCACTGCACCCCCAGAGTTATGCAACCCTGCAGACCTGCAAGGGTCTGTTTCAAGACCCTTGGAACTCACATTTCCCAAGGCAAAGTACTTGCTAATAAGTGAGAGTTGAACTTTAAGACCGTCATGGAATGATTATAATCCCTTCTAACCCTGACAGGTGGAAAAATATGAGGAAGATAAGAAAAAAACCAGAAAGGAAGTTGATGCTGCTTAAGTCGCTGTACTTACATGACTATGCACTCTGAGAGGGCCACCAGCCCGAGGAGCACAAGCCACTTCATGCTTCTTTCCTGGCCGCAAGTGCTTGCAGAAGATCAGGTTCTAGTCTGCAGTCGTAAGCAGGCCCTTCTAGTTATATATGTTCTGAACTACCTTAATTGTTGCCTTTAGGCCATTAATAGATTTGGATAAAAATAGAAACCTCTTGATAAAATCTTTACCTCAATCAGTGTCCTTGGGGAGTGGACTTTGAAAATTCTCAGATTACAAAGAGTCTACTATAATCTCTTTCTTGAGGCTTGGCTAGAAAACCAAACTGAACTGCATGGATTATCTGAGAGTGTGGAGAAATTTGCCAACCCAGAGACAAAACACTGCTATTAACGTGATAAAAGTGAACACTAGGGGCCATGCTAGACGTTTGGGATCTCATGTGGTCTTCCTAGCCACTTCATGAGATGTGCACTGATGTCCTCAGTTGGAGAGGAGATTGCAAGAAGGAAATTCTGTCAAAAAGACTTTAGGGGCAGCCCAGGGGCATACAAGTCACTTTAGGTAGTGGGAGAGATGGCACAGACCAAGGACACCTGTGATGCCAGTCTGCATCAAAGAGCTAGACTAGAGCAGTATTTCAATTGCATGCTTTCAATTTTGGAATAAACGTCATGCATCCACAAGATACTTTATATAATCGAACAAGTTTATACAGAAAACCCTGTGTGCTGGTGTCTGGGTTAGATGCTGGAAAGAATCAAAGAGGATGAAGACACAAGTGGTCCTTATCTACAGCAAGCTAGCAGTCTAGGGCAGTTCTCACAAATTCATGGCCCAGGAGGCAAGAAAAATGAATACAAGGACTAGGTGGCTATGCTAAACACTGGGCAACACAAGCCTTACCACTGGGGGCAGCCTCTCCTCCGCTCCAACCATGCTGGAAAGCAGGCCAGCAGGCCAAGTTTTCAAGAGAAGCCAGAAGTCTGGATACTTGTGTACAATCTCCTGATTTTAATGTTAGAACTTTTTTTTCTTTTTTCAGAAAAAAAAAAATAGTGAGAGCAAAATCTCCACGATGGAGTGCTGGATTCAGACTTCAGTCTATATAGGTTTTTATTTCTGGCCTAGAGGTGAGAGTGCAGTGAGGGCGGAGAGGGATTTAATTCAAGTTGGTTGATGTAAAGTGACTGAATACATATTAAACATATTAGTTTTCTTTCTATTTATAAAGAAAGTCACCAGGGACATATAAATCAATGAATTTACTACTATCCATTTGCTGAAGATAAATGGATATATCTCTGATATAATTTCCCAGTAGGGTCCATGCTATGAAAAGTTTTGTCTGCCAAACCAAATATATAAAGAAATAATTTTGGAATGTCTTATCAGTCAAAGAAGACAAAAAAAACCACTCAGAGCTCCTGCCCAGCCTGAGATGAACAGTGAAAGTTGTTCAGTTGTGTCCGATTCTTTGCGACCCCATGGACCATACAGTCCATGGAATTCTTCAGGCCAGAATACTGGAGTGGTAGCCTTCCCCTTCTCCAGAGAATCTTCCCAACCCAGGAATTGAACAGGGGTCTCCTGTGTTGCAGGCAGATTCTTTACCAACTGAACTATCAGAGAAGCATGAGATGAACAGGGTTAACTGTTAAATTCTTACTTCAGCCAAAGTAAAGACAATAGTGTTTTATGGTTGCTTGCAGGCCTCCTAAGGAGAAAGCAATGGCAACCCACTCCAGTACTCTTGCCTGGAAAATCCCATGGACAGAGGAGCCTGGTAGGTTGCAGTCCATGGGGTCGAGAAGAGTCGGACATGACTGAGCGACTTCACTTTCACTTTCCACTTTCATGCATTAGAGAAGGAAATGGCAACCCACTCCAGTGTTCTTGCCTGGAGAATCCCAGGGACAGGAGAGCCTGGTGGGCTGCCGTCTATGGGGTCACACAGAGTCGGACACGACTGAGGCGACTTAGCAGCAGCAGCAGCAGGACTCCTAGGGCCTATTTCCGCATGAGATCTATCCAGGTCTGTCCCTTGGATACAACAATGGGAGCCTGGCGTGCTCACCAGGTGTGGCTAGATGGGACGTTGTATCTTAACCCTCATTTTTACAAATTGTTTAAATTCAATTTAGGTGGTTCAATACCAACAGAGGGAATATCTAACAAATGACACATACATACACCATTTAACTCAGCAATTCTACTTCTAGGGATCAATCCCAACTATACACACTGCCGAGAATATAAAAAACCATCTGCACAAGCTGTCTACTGCACGTTGTTTTTAAAAGCAAAATATCAGCAAGATACCAGAAGTAACCATCCACATTGATGTGTGGAATAAGGCACAGAGCATCCCAAAAACTGGATAAAATATGGATGGAGTAAGGAGTGGAGTTGGTGAGATGTTCAGAGTGTAATGTGTATTTATTTTTTAAAAGAAGGTCCAAAAAAGTTCTTGTAGTTTGTCGCTTCTATATACACATATATGTCTATTTTCATTTAGAAACAGTAGAATTAGCCAAAAATAATTAAAATATAATGTATGGGTGAGGGACAGGAAAGTGAGATTTTTCTTGTTTTATACTTTGATATAGGAAGTGGCAACCCACTCCAGTACTCTTGCCTGGAAAATTCCATGGACTGAAGAGCCTGGTAGGCTACTGTCCATGGGGTCACAAAGAGTCGGACACGACTGAGTGACTTCACTCATGCAATGCAAATGTGTTACAGAATCAAAAAATAGATAATCACATCTGTCAAACTGAGAAGAGTAATATGTCTATTTGTATCAAGTTGATGACTAGCTGCACATAACAAAGCATTACTTAAGTGTTTTTAAATTTCAGCTTTATGACTCCACTAGGGTGTCTTCTAAAGACAAAGACAAACAAATATATCCCCCTCATTCAAAACAAAAGCAAAAAATCTGAAACTGTATTCAACAGCTTATTGTTGCTGATACAACTTCTGTTATTGTGACAGTATCATATGTATGTTACCGGTTAAAGCAAGTCAGTAATAAATGCTAACATTGTTCTAAAGTAACGCTTACAGTGGTTAGAGAAAAGAGGTTCACACATAACATAAAGGAGCTTAAGTAAAACCCTGTTATCTTAAAACTTCTATTGAAAGAGTAAGTTTGTACCAATCAAATTTTTCATTTTTTTATTTTTTAAAGAGTATCTGAATTCCTGGCTCTGACCACCGAAAAGCCTAGAAGCAAAGATAACTTGATAACAGTAGCTATCCTGAGGTCTAATTTGTGATTTCTAAATGCATTTTCCACCAGAAGATCCATGGATTCTTAAAGAGATGACTGATTTCAGAACTGGGTAAAGAAATGCACAAAATAATCTTGGGAATCTTGAAGAACCAGAAAGTTGAGGGACATAAAAGACCAGAGGGGACTGGATAGAAAGTTTAGAAGTCCACATAAAGAGGCCAAAAGAGGGGTTATTTTAACATTCATTCAGTTGGAACAAATTTAAAGCATAGAAATCAGATATTCTAAATGCTAATAGACAACATCTAATTTGTCACTGTGACAATTGCTAGGGCACCAACTCACCATTCTGAGCCCTGAGAAAGGAAAATATCATCTATATATGTTTTTTCTTTCTATGAGGCATATTTCATGTAATTACAAACAGTTAAAGGAATTTTCTTTTTAATTGAAGATTTTCAGGATTTAAATCCAGAAAGAGTGGTGGAAACAGGAAATCACTGTTTTACAATATTTTTTGAAACTATGGATCTAGGCAAAGGTCATCAATGGATGCTGAAACCATAAGTGAAAGGTAGAAGGTGAGTATAAAATGGCTGCATGAGGTTGGCAACTGTAA